ATTTTTAGCACTCCCAAACTAAGGGGAAAAAATCAATATATAAGGAAAGCAACAATTTCATCCCAAAAAGTGCACATGGACGTGGACTGAAAAAGAAATACTGCAAACAATAAAGAAGACAAGTTTATGTGAACAGACAGATTTATTATGTACAATCTAAGTAAGTTTTCAACTTACAGTATCTGACCAAGCTCCGTATTTTAAGACCTTTATTTCAAATCAGGTTGTGCTGTAACATCTCAGTTAACCATGCAGTTAAAATTACTAACTTAAAGCAAATCGATCGAACAGCAGGGGGCAATATTTGTTGCCTGCAAGAAACCATAAGCATACTGTCTACTGATAAAATACATATTGAGCTGAGCCGTCCTAACATGGCTTGAAATGCAGCCTATTGAACACAACAAATCCTGGTACTTCAAAATCTTACAGTACAAAACAATACTAACAACACCGAAGTCTTGAGACTTCATTTTAAGTTGGTTAAACCTTTCTAAAACAATTCAACTCAACATTCCTTGGATTACTGAACTACAAACCAGCTTTTTTTGGGCTAGAAAGATAGTGAGGAAAAGAAATTTAAAGGCTATGTAAATAATTACTAGAATCATTAATTTTTTCCTCTTCACAAATTTTTTTTCAAAAAAAGTACAAAAGCTGGCTGAGATCAGAAAGTCTGTTTTTGTAATTGGATGAAAGGTGAAAATCATGAATTTAAATGATGTTCGAACTGAAAGTGGTCTGCATTTTGTGAGAAATACCTGTCCCCTTGTGCCAGGGAAAAGTTGAGAGTCAAAAGCTGCTTCTGCTGTGAAAAACCAGAAAAAAAAACTTAAAGCGATGATGGTGAGCGATAAAATTATAGTACGGAGCTGTCATTATGAACATTTGAATGTAAATGATAAATGGCCAGTCAAAATATTCTGTGAAGATGAGAATTCAAACAAATAGTGAGGAAAAAAACCTTTCTGCAATTGATTATTTTTTTTCTTTCAGTTACCAACTGAGATACATTTTTATTTTCACATCATAAAATTGGCTTGATAGTAAAGCGCTTGTACAGACTGCAATAAAAATGACAAAATACATTGTTGTTAACAAAAATAACATCTTGTAAACAAAAAGCTAACAGACATGTTTTACCATAAAATATTTACAAAGAATATTTATAAGCATCAACTCTTATCCTGAATTAGGGTAAGTTACTTAACAAGGCAAAAGCACATGTAAAACCAAACACATTCTTTCCAACTTAAAATTAGAACCCTGATTTCAATGGGTACAACTTATCATGGTAATCTTCTACCAATCAATAAAAATATTTGCCATGCTTAAGTATGCCAAGAGAGAAAAATAAACATTCATGACAAACAGATTTGCATGTTAATAACTGTACAAATACTGCTAATAATTAAAAATAATATGCAAACTTCCCCCATCCCCCACAATTCATATTATGTAGTACATACATGTACTGTACGCATTACCTTTTCTTTACAACATCCAATTATACTCTGTTTAGGAAAATTTCTTATTGCTATTTTTCTACCATAAATATATTGTCACAGTTAAGAACATTCAGTTGGCTAGCTAAAACTTATCCAATTAAATAGTTTTTTTAGATCAGTGATGAGAAGCAATTGCAATCACTCATAGTGTGATTGTAAACCTGATATTATTTAACTATTACTAGACATAATTACATTCACTGGGGGCACTGTGACATGATCATTTAATTTGCAAAATAATAATGCCCTGAAATATTTTCTTCACTCTTGCCGATTTTACATGGCTGATTAAAATGAACTGTTATGTCAAAATCTAGTGTCATTTTGTTAAAAATATTTTTTCATAAATTGCACTTATAGGTAAGATTTGAAAACTAGTCTGTAAAAGATTCTCTGTAAAATATAGTGTTGTGTTGTTGTTCTCTGTCAGAAACGCCAAGACCCCAGATCCTTGACATTTCAATGGTCAGGAAATTTTTGATTAAAGTAGAAGAAACACCAGAAAAATACACCTCTAATATAAGAACATGGTCACCAACTTTACCTTTTGCATAATTAAATTAAAATCCTGTTCAAACTATAAGAAATGGTGCTATAAATTAATACTGACAGAATTATACAGGGTAAAATCATTTTATATTTGTGCAATATTTCCACAACTACAATTGCTCTCTGACAGTAATCCATGTAATCACTACCACTTTCATATGGAGGAGAATTTGCCACACATTTTAATGAGAAGTGTTTGCAAACGTCCTTACAGAAGCATTGGCTTCAGAATTCATCAGTTTATATATATCATGATCGCTTTAATTTCATTATGCTTTTGAATAGCACTTAATATTAATAATAATAATACTTTTGTATCACAAAAAATACAATATGATAATTTATATGCTATAATCACACACACACACACACACTATAAAACATACAATATATATCTGTGCAAGTGTGTGCATGTGCATAATTATATATATATAAAATGCACACACATACACTCACACAAATGTAAGGCATCTGGTACTAGATACATTGTTTTGCATCCAGTTTGCTTACAATCAGGGTCTCCACCTCTATCTAGTCACAGCTGATCTTAATGCTACAACTGTCACCCAGTTATGGCTGACCCTACAATGTCACAGTTGAGCTTCCTTCAAGCACCATTCAAGGTCACAGGTGACAAGGTCAAGGTTACACTTCAAAGGGGTCACATGAATCCGTCTAGTCAAGGTCAACTTTGTTCTGTATGTCTTTCTAGTAAGTGGCACTTAATCATTGCTTTTATTGTTTTGTTTTTAAAGCGATCCATACTCTTTTTTAACTTCCTTTTTCCTTATTTCAAAACATCTTGAGATAAAAAAAACAATCCATTATCTGTCTATAAACTCTCTATGGAAATCTCCATATCAAACAGCACTACACTGCACACAGTCTGATACCTAAGTCGGGTACCTTCAGTGTCTTATCACAGCTCAGACTGGACTGTCTTACTTGTCAGTCTTCATGTACAGATCTTGAGAGCATCATAACACCTAGGGCCCTGTTGCACAAAACAACAAAAGTCAAAAAAGGGTCTCAGTCACAACTGCCAAAGATGTCTAGCTGACTAAACTGTGCTTCACTCAAAGTTTCCATACACCCTTTTCTCTTTTTGGTCTTTTAATCCAACTAAGGACCAAACTGTCAGAGATTTTGCAGATAATTTACCTCATAAGTGGCAGTAGCCCCTTAGCTCCATTCTCTAGTAGGCTATTAATTAGAAAATCGCCTCTTAGATCAAGTCATGAAGTCATAGTTGGTCATCCAGTCTTTCAGTGATGCAGGACCCTACAGCAGGAATTCATGGACATCAAAGCCTTCTGTTTGTGACCACTTTCTCCAAGTACCTTCATCCTGGGTCACAAGCCGATCTCTCTGTGACAAAACACCTGCCATCATACACACCATAGACCTGGTACAGTCCTGTCACTTCTATCCATTCTAAATATTTCCCTGGATTTTCATACACCCGTGTTGGCTGTGTACATGACCATTATCAGCTTGGACAGCCCTTGTTCAGGTAGTGAGCCTGTCAGTACAGGGAGTACACTGGATCAATTTATCTCGCAAACCATATACAGGTATCAAACCCATTGTTTCACACTTCAATACTCCTCTCGCCTAACCTTCCCCACTCTGGAACATTGCTCCTTTGATTCAAAATGCCTGTCTGTCATCAGCATTCCTGTTAACTCATTCAAATGTATCTGTCCTTCCAGATAGCATTCCCTCTGTAATGGATTCCAGTGCCAACAAGCAGACGTATTGCACACAACGCCCCCTATCCATCTGCTCCTGTATTGTCTTGCTTCTGATCTAGATCTGCTGACTCATAAACCATGAAAAAGTTGGTTGGGCAGCCTTTTCTAACTTAACTTCCACACGTAGCCATTGCAGATTAAAATTTGCAAACCAAGGTCACAGAGTTAATTATCAAGGTCAAAAACTTCTTTATGTAAGTCTGGAAATTTCTCCATCTGTTGTGGCATCTCCATCTTGATGCCACGAAGTGCTTTTGAATGTTCACTATTGTTCTTTTTCAGAACAGGTAGAAAGTTCAAAATCTTGGAGAACACATCATCCACTTCATCTAAAATGTAACAGAAAGCATATTAAAGGCAGGTCTCTAAACACATGAAACCAGGTCTTAACCAAGTGGGAGCAACACCTGATCCTGATAACCCAAAGATACCTACTCCCATTGATATTTTTTCCTCATCTAAATTAGACTTCCCCCTTTGATTGAACATAAATATAAGGGAGCATTCAGATAAACAAACTGTACCAGCTGGATCGATCTAACTCTGAAGGAGATTCTCACTATGTGAAATCACTGTAATTAGCTTGAATGTCTGACACTTCTCCTCAAGCTGCTAGGGGGTAATAAAGCAGAACCAACAAGAAAGTTAGTTAACCCTAGCCACCAAGGAGGCTTGTCATACAATTACGCTGATTACACTGAATGCAATTAAGCATAAATCCCCTGCAGAGTTGGATCAATCCAGCCGGTACGATGTTTTAATCTGAACGCGGTCCAAGTTTGTTCCTCTCTTTATCACTGTATGTCTTATGGTTGTAATTAACCCTTGTCAAGCAGCTCAAGCATGTTAAATAATTTTCTCCAACAAATACTACAGAAAAACCTACTGTGGCTTAGAAAAACATTTCTTTCACTATAAAAAAGTTCTTGTCATTAATTATTTACTTTTGCCACTTACTTCTGATGGTAAAAATATAATTTATTTATCTCAAACAAAATAGTCAATGTGCTGAAGTGAAAATGCAATGAAGTGTCGTTTTTTATTTATCACTCCTTATAGTGTCGTTTTTTTTTACCTCTAGTTCTCGTGCTCCTCATCTGACTGAGTAAGGCCTGCACAAATACACTCTGTAACTTGACCACCCCCTTACGGTTGGTTAGACCTGCACACTCTGAAATAAAACAATTTATCTTTCAATTTCACATTGGCTGTAATTGCAATATTTTAGTAGATATTACACAAATAATGATGATCTACCATGTTAAGTGTGCGTGCGTGCGTGTGTGTGTGTGTCATACTTAAATACGCAGGGCTATAGGTCTGATAAATACAGGAATGATGAACTTCATATTTTTTCAAATTGCAGACTTAATTTGATTTATTCACCTGCCCTTTGTGTTCCCATACATAGTGTTCATTAATAAATGGAAGTAATAAGTAGGTGTTCCCTTCAAAAAACCTTACCAGGGTTAATGATGATCACTGCACACAGTAGTGCCATCTCAGCATCGCTCAGCCTCAGAGGATTAAGATAACCAGCCAGCTCAAAGAAACTCTCTAAGAATCCCCCCAGTGGCATATTTTTTACTATCATTCTGGAGCAAAAAAAAAGAGAAAATTTGGCTTTACTTACAATGTGAAAAGGCAAAATGTAAGTGAAAACATTTCAGTTGAGTTCAAATGATGACTGATGAATTGACAAAGTATTATCACACTTATGAATAGTATGCAAAAAACCACATTTTTTACATAGAATTATTACTTAAAAACTAGTAAAGAATCTTAACTTAAAATGAATATCAGCAGTACAAAACAGTATATAGATTTCATATTCAAGCTCTTTATACAAGTGAGACCATGAAACATAAGGAAAAGAAAGCACTGAGTAGCCTACTGGTATATTTACCTAGGAATCAGATGCTCCATGCTGGGGTCTATCATAAAGTCTTTCACTGGGTCAATAAGGCCAAGGTACCTGATTAACACCAGCTCAAAACTGCCCTGCTTTATCAGTTTTATCTGATCATCCTCACCTAATTCAATAAAACCTACAAAGACAAGTATGGGATATTGTGAATGATGATCTTATTTACTAGTACTGGGTTGCCCCAACATTGTTCTCACATATTTTATGATCATAATAATAGTAAGGAAAGTTAAATGGCAAAGATATGGCCAAGTCTTTTATCAACTTATCCATTTTAGGCCTTTCAAACAAGAAATACCCTACTCAATAAACTGACGAGCAACTAATAATTTTGGATTTTGCCACAATTTATCTGCTAAGTTAAGCTGTAAAGAATAGATGTCTAGCAGGCCACCCTACCAGGGATTCTTTTACAGAATCTGACAACATCTGTTATAGCAGGGAGCATCTGTCCGAGGAATTTATCCCATAAAGATGAAGGCTGTCCAGCTTCGGGACTGGTTTTCATTTTTCTCATCATTTCAGACTGAAATAAAACATATCATCTTGAATCTTCAAAAACTCAGATATTCCTTTAAAATGTTTTATGGCCATATTTGTTCACAATTGGTTTTAAAGCAAAAAATAAGACCACTAATTCATTACATTTTCTTTTACTGCAAATTACCATGTTGATTTTAACTTGTGAACACATATTAATATCATGATTTTGAAATAATGTAAGCAGTTTTTGGGATGTGACACTGATTATATACAATGAGAATAGCACAATCAGCTCAATTTTCTGATGAATTTTACCAGAATCAATAATATGGACAAAACCAAAGAGCTCAGATACACCACCTACAGTGCATAAGTGTCCCCCGTATGAGACTCCATTTTTCATTCTGTACCGAATGAAACAATGACTAGATAAATCAAGATATGTACAACAGGGGGGTCATCCCATTCCAGGTCAATCTCACTCACCATCATGGCCATGCTGGGCATAGCACTGCCCAATCTCTCCCACGTCTCCTGGACTTTGGCCACCAGGTAGCCACAGGTGTCGCAATGGGCCTCGATGATCACATCCGTCACCTGGTGAATCAGCTGCTGGCGTTCTTTAGTGATTGGCTGCTTGGAGGCCTCTACGATATTTTGTATCATAATTCTATTCAGCTCCTCTTCGTCCCTCTCTTCTTGATTGCTGTCAGAAAAAGGGAACCCAGGGGTCATGTGCCCCGGAGACGGGTCAGTCAGCATCTGAAAGTTTGTGTTTAAGTTTGTGCTGTTTGAACCATTACAGCTAGGTGGCATGCCCTGCTGTTCCATTTTGATGTTATTTGCCCCGTTAGCTGGGGCACCACTTGGGAACGGCTCTGGAGGCACATGGCCAGGTGAGCTGTTGTTAGTTCCAGTCCCACAACCAGCTTCGCTGGTTGCCTGAATCACAGTCTTATTCTGACTGGTCAACTGGGTGCCAGCCTCAATCTGATTGGTCAAACTCCTGTCACTATTAGCTGCCCCGCCCACTGCCGCCAATCCATTTGCACTGGGGCTGTCCTTTGATGGGCTCCCCAAGATGTAGTTCTGTAAAAATTCGGGGATTTTGTTTCCGTTCTTCACCTGGATGAGTCGCTGAAGTTCAGCCATGCTGAGGTGGCTGACTTGAAATGGGCTTAGAGGAGGGTAAGGGGCAATGGGCTGTGTGGAGGGATGAGGACGAGATGAGAGGTCACCTTCACCTTTCAGGCGTTTTGGCCGTCGTCCAAGTCTTGATGCTGAAAGGTAAAAGACAATGTAATTGTTTTTTGTTTTGTTTTCTGTCTTTTTTTTTTACGGAGCAGAAAACAACTGAAATCTAGGACATCTTTAAAATTCATATTTAACCATCAATTGCTGGATCACTACAGTCAATGTACGAACAACCTTTTGTTTTTATTTCCTTTTCATTAAGCATTTTCTTTTTTAATCACATATTGCTTTTCACCTGTTAATAAAATCAGACAATTACTGCAATACTCCTGATTTATCAAGATAAAAAATCATTGGTGTAAATTAATCCATCCAAACAGTTTTTGAAGATGGCTGATTTGCATTCTTTTCCTGAAAATAAAAGCACCCAAAACTATTTTCTAGGTCAATTTTTTAATTTTGTCTGCTCTATCAAATCCACTGACATCTTAAAAGAAATTAAGTTGTTGACACACGTGTGTCAGTAAAGAAAAGACTCAGGTTTCGTTGCTACCAATCAATGACTGGATAGCCTGAAGCCATTCAATCAATAATAACCTACAAGCAACATCCATCTAGGATTTCCTGCTAGTTTTTTTCTTTAAGAGATTTTCATGATCTACAAGGGCGGAAGCTTACAACATGCGAGTGTAACTCAGGCAGCAAACATGTGAGTTACTTGTTAACTTATCGTAAAACGTTTTTTCACCAAAGAACAAAAATCCCCAATACATTGTATGGAATGAGCCTATCCATTACTCATGTGTGAAATACAAATTAAGGTACAAGAGAGATGATAGCTAGATTATACATGAAAGAGATCTAAATAAGCTGCCTTTGATAACGCCCACGTCTGATTATGTAGTGTTTGTGGAACATGAGTAGTTCTGTACAATTTATGAGGGAAATCTGCTGAAGAGCTCTACTAAACCTGGTGACAACTTTGGCCAAACTCAAAACATACAAAGATGAAAGACAGAAATGACATAAACTTTGTAATGAACTGAATCAGTCTTTATTCCCCCCCCCCCCTTCCCACCCACGCCCAACACACAAACACATAGGGGCAGCACCAAACATATTCTCTGACAGTCTTCCAAATTATCTTCGATGATCCATCTTCTATTTTTGACCGTCTTCTGACAGAAAAAATTAGAAATTCAAACTTAAGAAATTCTGGAAGACCCAGAAGACAGCTTCTGTCCACCCCTGCGTGACACACACACCCACACACAAACTGGCGCTTGTATGTGCCATTACGTATTCACCTTCACGTGACATCCCCACGGCAAAACATTTCTTCAGCCTGCAGTACTGGCAGCTGTTTCTACTGAATGGGGTGATGTCACACTTCTCCTCATTGTTACACTTGTGGTTCATCCCCTGGGTTATACAACGGCGGAAAAAACCCTGAAAGAAAATATGTAAACATACAATGTAAGCATTAGACAAGTATACGAATTATCACCCGACGGGATGCTGTATGAACACCCATGACCAATATGTGGACGAGATCATCAACGACTTGTTACCAGCTCAGAAGCGATTAACAAGAACATGCACACACACATACACAAACAACAGACCAGAAGGCATCTACACAGCGAAAGTATTTAAGTTATGAAGCAGAAACTCTGAAGAACTCTCATGAACACACAAATGTGCATCCATGCATGCACCCACACACCCACACCCACACCCACAGACACACACACACACAGATCAGCAGGCATACACTGTAGTGGTATCTTTTCAGCTAAAGTACAACTATTTTTTTTTCAGCTATAAAGCAGATTCTCCGAAGAACTCTAAAGAAAGAGTATACACACAAATGCACACACAACCAAACACACATGCGCGCGCGCGCACACAAACACACACACACACACACACAGATCAGCAGGCATACACTGTAGTGGTATCTTTTCAGCAAAAGTACAACTATTTTTTTCAGTTATAAAGCAGATTCTCCAAAGAACTCTTAAGAACAAGCATACACACAAATGCACACACAAACAAACACACATGCGCGCACACACACACACAGAGGAGAGAGAGAGAGAGAGAGAGAGAGAGAGAGAGAGAGAGAGAGAGAGAGAGAGAGAGAGAGAGTGTCCTGTATGGATTCTCACCTTGCAACCCTCGCAAGAGTCCACTCCATAATGGAACCCTGAGGCCTCGTCCCCGCACACTTTACACACGGAACCACTTCCTTTGTGTTCCATCTTGCTTTCCACTTTCACCAACGAAGATTTAAAATCTGGAAGAAAAATTTCATGGTGGTTTATTTATAACATCACCAAGGCTTTGCACAAGACATTAATCAATAAAACATCAAAAGCTGTGGGCGAAATAAGAAGGAATCTACGCACAACTATGAAGACTGCAGTAATTTTTTCTTTTCTTTTCTTTTTGAAATCAGACCTCAGCTTAAATCCACCTGCATGACAGCCGTATATTTCTATTAATCAATCAATTTTTCATTCTGTCATATAAATTGCAGTAACTAAGAGACACTGGTGTCAGCATGACCATGAACTACAGAAATATCACAATAACTGCAGCAAATAAGTAATCCCTACATGTTTATCACTGTGCCTATGTGTCTAAATGTTAATCAGTAAGTCACGACAATTTCCAGCAGAACCAAAAAAAAAAAAAAAAAAAACAAAATTGGTAAGGGAATTTATATGAAACAGCCTGTGAGGTACATTTAAATCAATTTGCACCTTTTGAATGTTTTTGTCAGTGGAAATTACAGTGTATGTACAAAAGTCATGCTAGTTTAAGAAACACTTTAAATACTAAGCTACTTGGACTGATGAATGTCTAAAACTTGTTGATTGGTCCTTGGCAAGAGATCAAGTTAATTTTTCTTTCATTTTTTTTCTTTTTAGCCAAGGATACTGATGAACTTATTGAAAAACGATGAAATATTTTCGCAAGATGAAGTTAAATATTTATATTTTATGAGCCTAGGCTGACATCAGTTTCCATTATATCAACTTATGCCACTTTTGTAAAGTGTTTAATAAATAAATAAATAAATAAATAAATAAATAAAGTTAGACCCTAAGCAGACACTAAGATTCCACACCTTTCTTTAATGTCAAGACTTTATCAAGAGGCCAGGGTAACCACTTGTAAAAAACTCTTACCTGATGACCCAACCATCCCTAAGCCATAAATGAATCAAGCAAATAGAAAGATACAAGCACAGAAAAGAGTCAACCTCCTCTCATGTAACATTTTTTCATGTATTACATGACACATGTAAAGAACAAAAACATCCCGCCTCGTATGAACGTGAGTTACATCACACCAACTTGAGGTTGTTTGTTCTCCACATCAGAAGTAGTACCAGTGACATACAACACTCGCCAGAAATCAGAGTGACAACCACTTGTGCTTTGCACTTGTTTACACCACATACATTTTACTACCTCGTGGAATATCTATTATAAGTTTATTAATTAATATGGCATTTTTGTTATAAAAAAACATAAAATCTTCAATAAACCCAAATCGCACTATCTATTCTTGCTCAGAAAAGGCAAAGGTTCTTTCAGAACTCAACAGAAAGGGAAAAAAAAACAGCAAGAGAAAACAGAGAAAATGAAGAAAAGAAAAAATGCTTTAAGTCACAATAAAGAGAGAATTCCCACAATTAATTGGACCTGATTGACCTTTACACTTGATCTTCCTACTAACCCTAAAATTGACCCCAGTGAGTTCAAATATAAAATAAAATAATTTCTATTTTGAAGGTATTCATAAACATGGACAGCGACAGCATAGCCAACAACAACAGCAAGCATGGACTGACTCATGACTTAAACAGATATTGTACATTAATATACATAATTTATCCAAAGCAATGCTTCTTTGACTAGCAAAAAAAAAGCCATTTTGTGAAAAAAAAAAAGTAAGAGAAAAGTGAAGAAAGCCTCACCTGTGTTCATGTCTCTCTTGGGTGCAACTTCAGCTGCCTGCAACATGGAGTTCTCTTAATGTTAGCATACCAGTTGGTTACATGTTACGATTCCAAGAATCAATTTAACTGCCTGCAAAAGCAGAAAATGAGCAAACTTGAATCTGATATATACATTCATACCATATATAAAAACCACTTAAATGTAGTTTAGAGACCTAATGTACCACAGTGCAATTAACTAAAGGAAAAAAATAACCTACTTTAAATCTAGGAAACTCTTTACCTCTGATTAAAAATACTGTTTTACCCATTCATTCATAAATACATTTTAGCAGATAGCTAATAAAATGAAGTAAGGGACAGAAGAAGAGTGGGTGGGGGTGGTTATAAAAAGTTAACCATAGCACACTGCATTTGCACTGTTGAAATGACCAAATATAAGACATGAAAAGTCAGAAAAAGATACAGCATATAATTCTTTCCAAAAGGCATAGATAGAACGTTCACTATAATACCAAATTCTGACAACTATATATCTTTGAACTGTCATCTCTGAACTGTCCATTCTCTAGAACATAATATCCTAGTATTTGAAATAAAGAACTATTACACACACCTGCAGATATATAAATGAGTAGAGAAATAGACTTCGATCACATTTTCAAAACTTTGTCTTCATCTCTCAATGTCAAGCATAATCATCATTAATATTGCCAATAAATAAATAAATAAATAAATAAATAAATAAATAAATAAATAAATAAAACCCTTCCAAATATCCCCTTCTTTGTTATTATCCCATACCTCTGAATAATGTCCAATCTCTAGGACTATTACCCTTTATATAAGCTGCAATTAACTGCATTATCAGTAGAGTGGTGCCCTTCATCTTTTCCATCTGTCATATGTCAATGAAGAGCTCTGAATCACCCCGGCATGGAGTGACTGATGCATGGTCAATACATGCTTGGTCTACTCTTGTTTAATACATTTTTATGCCCCAAACGGCTAAAACGAACAAATGATCCAGACCTGACATATCTCGCACACCGTGGGATACGCGAGATTCACCACGAGTCAATGACCAGATGGAGTTCTAATACCCTCAATTTCACTTTTTTTAACCAAAGCAAACTGCCTGAGTGTCTCTTCGGCATCTGAAGAACACTGCTCCGCTGTTATATACAGGGTCAAGAAGAAAATCACTCACTACTTGCCAAATGGGCCACACGTACATGCTTGCATGCATGCACACACTCACACACACTCTCTCTCTCTCACACACACACACACGTCACACACACACATACACACACACACTGCATAATAAATTATTGAGCATACTTGCTGGGCAAATCTGTCCAAGCACTTGTCACAGAACTGTGTTACACAGGAGAGACATGCCCCCCCCCCCCTCCCCCCAATATTGATAGGTTTTTCCATTACCCTCCATTAAATATGCAGTATAACCATGGAAACAAGACAAAAACTTTTCTATCCTTGTATCATCCATATCATAGTCTTTGTCTACTGTTTTATGTCTGTTGAGCCAAGTAAGCCAATTTTTTTATTCATTACAGCCCAACCCCTCCTCCTGTTCCTTTTCTCCTTTACAAATTCACCAAACCACCAGTACAGCAGCAAATATTCCCCAGCATTGGTCAATTGGTGAGAACTTTATCTCTACCAGGATAACTTAACCAAGTATGTGTTGAAAGAAAGTAGGAAGCCTAAGGGTTGTTCCTATGTTGCTAAGGCATGAAAGGTTGGAGGAGGGGGGGGGGGCATAAAAAGTGGAAGGATGGATATTTTCTCATCATTAAAATGTCTGTACAATAACAGACAAGAATTAAACACAAATTTCTAACTCAGATCAAAGGAAGGGGTGGGAGGCTTAACCAATGCTCAACTTAAACCGCTTGCACACCTTGTAATTCTATATATACTGACCCCCAAATAAGTTCTCTCAGTCAAGTCATACTTGCACTGGCACAGGTTTTTGACCTCAGGTGAGAAACTCATGTGTGTTTACCCTGCAAGTGGCTCCTAATTCTACATCAACTAGTTATGATCCCATCAATACTGTGGCTCCACCTGACTGGGTTTTTATGCCGTGACATAACCTCAGTAAACACCACATGGCACACCTGTCTGGTTATGTCTGTGAAATGAAGTCACAGGTTACATGTGTTGTGCCACTGTCACGCTTTGACATCTAGACTGTTCAAATGGCTATAATAAACACACCATTGGTCTCACAGTTATATAAATACTACATATAATAATACACAAAAGGTCGCACCCTCAGTGCTGTTATCTCTGACAAAAAGGTCCGCCTATAACCAGTGTCTGACTAACGGATCAGCTGTTGGAACACGCACCTCCTGCCGTTATCTTTCCACATATCAAAGTTCAAGCACAAAGCTGTTTACTACATGTGTGAGTGCAGCCGTACTGTTGTCATGCACGGCACATGTGAACATTGCAGTGGTACAAATATGTTATGTTAGGTAATGCTGGGATGTCTGATAATCTGGGGCTTATGTATTTTTAGTTTGGTTGCCTGGTGTTGTATTTCAAATAGAAAAACAAATTTGGCTAATTGGTGATTTTCTACATGTACAGATTTCAGGGAGACCCAAGGCTTTCTCCAGAGAGTCACAGTCATCCATTGGATGATCAGTGGCCTCAAAAAATGGCCTACATTGCCAAAGAAAGATGGACAGCTTGTACAATTTTTTTTTTTTTTTTTTTTTTATGGAAATGACTGGTTGGTTAGTCAAGACAGCCCAGCAAATTACCAAGAAAGCAGCTTGATGTTCCCAGTTTGTATGATGCATCCCACTTAAATAAAACTACACTGCAACATGACCTAAAACTATGCCCCCCCCCCCTCCCAAATTGATCATTCACACTTTGGCCTCAATGTACCTCAAATCCTGTGAAAACCTCTTACTGATTCTGAATAGAAAAATCAGACACAAACCCCAGTTCTGCCCGAAATGTCCTACCCCCACCTCCATTAACCCCTTCAATACACAGACAAGCATGTATATGAGTGTGCACACA